AATTCCTTTTTAAATTTTGCTAGAAATTCCCTCGCCTTCTGGACAGAATTCAGTTGAAACCTTTGCTGTTTAAAAGTAAAAAAATCACACTTTCCAATCTGTCCTATCGAAATGGAATCTTTTTATGTTTTAATCAATCAGTCAAAAAAGAATACTCTTTTTTTTTCTTATACAAGATTCTAATAGGAATTTCTTTAAGAACAATTACATCTGTATTATCAATCTTCAGTCTTTATTAAAATGCTGACACAAAACTTGGTCTCTTGTCTTCTTCCTGACAAAGTACACTGCAGTGATAGGTTTTCAAATGGGGCCTAGATGGCCACATATTTAGACTAATTTAGTGGATATCTGTACAAAGTAGGGGGTTTCATTGCTAACCTACAACATCTTTCCCATTCTATGATTCTAATTATCAACTATATGCAATTTTAATTAAATTAAGTGTACATTAAAGAACACTTCATTATTATCCTTTTTCTACCCCGGATGTAAACCTTGACTCCAAGGCCAATGGCACTCCCAGTGTAGAATCCATTTGTATTAGGTTCTGTGAAGTGACAGATTATGCATCTGATCAAAATGTACCCTGCTTCATTTACACATTTGACATAATAAATTACTTAATCTTTGCAACATACAGCATTTCAGGTTATTTTACAGTGTGATCTTACAATTCCCCTTTCTTTAGGTGGCACATGGTATAAAATTTTATAGCTGTGAGATTGTGGTGGAACTGCTGTTGAGTTTTTCTTTTTCTGTGGCGCTCTGTTCCATCCTTCTGAAGCCTCTCTGGCTGCCCATGAATCCTGATTAGAAAAAAATCCCTTCCACACAGTTCCTCATTGGAGTTTCCCTCAAGATTTTTCTAAATGTGGGAAGATAGGGAGGCTGCATAATAAAAGTCAGGACACACATATCTCTCAGCCACCAATGTACACCATGGTAAGAACTCCATTAATCTTGTTCTCCTTTTGAAAGCATTTTTTTTTAATTAAAATGAATGGGAGTGGTTAAAAAATATATTGAAAATATTGTCATGGCATGTATATACTTATATAGTGAATACAGGATGCAATTTCCATGATAAAATGTAAGCTATGGGTGCTTATGTGTGCAAGGAGGACTGCTATAAGTTTTATACAGACTTTAAAATGGCTCAGCACCATATATGAGGCTTAACCAGTTTGTGGTGTGGGAATCATATAGTTTTGAGCCACACATTTTCTGTGGTGTCATATACTTGCACTCTCTAGGGCTAACTTTTCTTTTCTGATCTTCCGGTCTCCTTCCTTTACAGATGGTTCTGCTGGCTCGCTGTGAGGGACACTGCACCCAGAGCTCACGCTCAGAGCCAATGGTGTCCTTCAGCACAGTTCTGAAACAGCCTTTCCGATCCACGTGCCATTGCTGCCGGCCACAGACTTCTAAGCTGAAGGCCATGCGCCTGCGCTGCTCAGGTGGTATGAGACTCACCGCCACCTACCGCTACATCCTCTCATGCCACTGTGAGGAATGCAACTCTTAGGGGCAGACCTGCTGCAGCAAAAAGGACAGGAGGGGCACACGCTCTGCAGCAGAACGTCCAGAAGCAGAAACAGCCAAGGACAACCTTCCAACGGTTTGCTGCTGCTACAACCAGGGATAATTAGAATGGATTTCATTGGAGGATGACAGAGAAGGAGCCACGCAGATACCTGGGGTTGTACCAAGGAATACAACAGACACCAGAATGTATAATTGCACACTGTTGCTGAAGATGTAACCACATGTGAAGTTGAGGAATGGGAGCATTTGTTGTTAGAAATCTATCTTTTAGGTTCTTGGGGTCATTTTTCTATGTCAGTGATTCTTTAATATTGAATGTCAACTTAAGAATTATGGCTCTTGGTTTGGATGTTCAGCCAGCAACACAAAAGAACCAGGGACATAGAAAATGCATACAGTGGATGCTATTATGTGGAAAACAATTTATTCTAGAAGAAAACAAAGACTCTTCCCTGTATACAGAAGCCTATTGTGTCTTTTAAACATGCCCTTTAGTTTATACTGGCCTTGAAAACAGACTGTGTTGAATAGTAAGAGATATATTTTATCTGGTCCGGCAGCCAAGTGTTGGACAAGTTACTGTGATTTAGGTGCGGTTGCAAAATAAATAATAGAAAATTTATGGAACTACCAGTGCAGCTTCTCCAGTGTTGGGAAAGCATACTTACAGTCAAAAGTTGAAATGTGGAAAACAAACATCTCTTCCTCCTCCTCCTCCTCCTCCTCTGCTGCCTCTTTCTTTTCCGCCACTGCCCACC